AAGGTTAAAAAAAATGCTGACATAAATTTAGTAACTAGTTGCTGTATTTATCTACTTTCGTAATAAGCTGCTAGTTTTGTACGTATCTACAGATGACAGGAAAGTTTGAAAAAAATCTATCGATCGCTACCAGACTGCTACTAAAAACTTTAAATGTCTCTCTTGAGTCACCGGTTAGTTTACGGATTTACACAGCTAAGGCCCGGCATGGCCAGGTGGTTAGGGCGCTTGCCTCACTATTTGAGTGTCGCGGGTTCGAATCCCCGTTCCATCAAACATGCTCGCCCTTTCTGCCGTGAGGACGTTATAAAGTTACGATCAATTCCACTATTCGTTGGTAAAACAGTAGCCCAAGAGTTGGCGGTGGGTGGTAATGAATAGCTGCCTTCCCTATAGTCTTTCATTGCTAATTTGGGGACGGCTAGCGTGTAGCTTTGCGCGAATATTCAAAACAAACCAAACCAATACACCGCTAAAATCGGTGGTTGGATTTTCCGTGGAGGATAAAGATTAGATAGCCAATTTGTAGCCTTGCCTCTGATTTTATGTTATTAAGAAACACCAAACATTGCACCAAATGGTCCATTCTCATAAATGGGATGACAAACTCTTGACACTTGCTCTCAACTCTGTTACATTTAATAGCGACAGATACTTAACCCGCACAAGAAGAAGGGTACTCATCTGTGCTGTTAGAAGCAGACTAACAGTGGTAGCAGATTTTTGCTGCTAGCAGTAATTAGTTGCAGGATCGAGAGATTGGTTTCTGAATCTAATAAATATTTTGAAATTACCACACTTTCATCTGTCCCCCAGCGGCTTAGCGATAAGTCTGAAGACTTATAACGCTACAAACAGGGTTTTAATACTCGTGTGGGCACGTCACAAATAGCCCACTGTGTAGCTTTGTGTTTAACAACAACTAAACACTTTTATCTTTAGAAAAATAATGTTCTTTCTCTTACTGTACGAATACAAAAAACGAATATTTCTCTATATTCATAAGAGGTTTTTTTCTGTGTAACGTAGATGAACTTTTACTGTTTCAAACACGTCTTTCCATGTTCTCCAGAGTGGTTTCTAATCGATGAAAGAGAACGTTAGTTGGACAGAGGGTTTCACGTTAAGGCGTGAAAAAACCATACAGTGCCCATAAGAAATTCTTCATAATTCAATTAAGTTGGTTTGGTTATGATTTGCTGTTTGGCATTTTATATTATGTTCATTTGAACAGCTTCATTTAAGATAAAGAATATGTAATATTATGTTCTGGATAACACGTTCAAAACATTGATATGTAATATTATGTTCTGGATAATATGTTCAAAACATTGATATGTAATATTATGTTCTGAATAATATGTTCAAAAGATTGATATGTAATATTATGTTCTGGATAATATGTTCAAAAGATTGATATGTAATATTATGTTCTGGATAACACGTTCAAAACATTGATATGTAATATTATGTTCTGGATAATATGCTCAAAACATTGATATGTAATATTATGTTCTGGATAATATGTTCAAAAGATTGATATGTAATATTATGTTCTGGATAACACGTTCAAAACATTGATATGTAATATTATGTTCTGGATAATATGCTCAAAACATTGATATGTAATATTATGTTCTGGATAGTATGTTCAAAGCCTAATGGTACCCCAGTGGCATAGCGGCATGTTTGCGGACGTACAACACTAGAAACCGGGTTTTGATACCAGTGGTGAGTAGAGTACAGATAGCCCACAGTGTAGTTTTGTGCTTAACTTCAAACAAACAAACAAACAAAAGCCAAATGTGATACTATTTTCACTTTGCAAAGCATAATTTTCTGTTTAGCTTCTAGCTTTCTGAAAGGCTTTCACATTGATACGGAACTTACCAATTAGAAGTTGAAATTAGGATAAAATATCCCTGTTTAACCGCTGTGCTCCGCCTGGGGTGCGTGGATCATGTTAATTGATCGTACCATGTCGTGCAGGTAGTTTAGAAATGGAAGACAAACACTGTGTCGAGCATAAAGCATGAATACAGTCCCTAGAGTCCAACCATTTTAAAGAAATAGCTAGGTTCAGAGAACAGAAATAGATTGCCAACTCCAAAGAATACTGCTTAGATCATCTCTCAATATATGTATATATATACCTCCTCCCTTGTTTTTTTCTCATATGGAGCTTTTGTTAGCAAACATTTGTTTGTTCAATTCTATCTTTCCCGTGTAGTGTTAGAATGTCGATGATTAATTTCGGGAATTATCTATATATGTAATTTGGTGATTATATTACTTTTGGATAGAATTAACAAACAATTACATCTATACTCAAGTTAGAGAATCTTATGAACTGAAGTGCACGGAGACATTACATAATTACACGCCGCAAAAACAATTTATTTTCAGTGAGACTTTCTGGGTGTTAGCGAAACATTCAAACTTCGGATTTGAATGAAATTCCTACCAAGGAAACACAAGATTTTAATAATGCCCAAGATATAACGAGAGGTGCGAAGAGGGTGCCGTCATTATCAAGCTTTTGAGAGCAAAAAATAAAAAAAAAAGGAATGGTTGTTCTTGTTTTCGATCGGATCCAGTCCCCAGCGTGTATTCACTGAGACGAACGTTCTGGTGCTCTGAAGGCGAAGAGATTGCGAGGATGCCGATGAAATCTTCATGAGGTCAGGAACAAGAAGCAAGACCAGAAGAAAATATTTTCGTGGAACTTGAATTATTCAAAGAATTGACTTCATCCAAATAAAAAGAAAAACAGTCTACTAAGTCGATGTGTGACAAGTATTATTGAACCCCAGAGTTATGTATGGGAATAACGTAAATGAACCAACTCTTTATCCTCCCACGCTGTTTCCGTTGTCTGTATGTTTTAAGAGAAAACAGAACTTGTTAATTTCAGCATCCTTTTTGTTCCGAGTTCGTAAATGAAAAGAGATGTCTAAGATATCATGTTTGTTAATCCTGTAGTTATCATAAAAGTTATTGCTTTAAGATGCTTGCGAACGAAGTCTCCAAATATTTTTAACTGGTTGAAAGAGAGACAGTCAATAACAAGTTAAAATCTCGAAGCAGTTAACCAAAGATCAATTAACTGATAGATCAAATAGCTACATATCATTAATAACAACAACAACATATATAAGCCAAAAGGTTTTGTTAGTTTGTTGTTAAATGCAAAACTACGCAATGGCTATCTGTCCTGTACCCACCACGGGTATCGGAATCCGGTTTTTAGCGTTATAAGCCTTCAGATTTACTGGTGAGTCACCGGTGGTCCCAATGCTTTTACTTGCAATAGCAAATTAATATTACACAAAAGTTAACTAACAAAAATTTGATGAAGACTAATGAACTTTTAAGAAATGGAGATTTCAGTAATGCTTTTTCCTGTTTTTAAGAGGTGATAAGAATATTTAGATATCTTGGTTATATGCACACAGAAAATGTCTGGATGTCATGTATGGCTTTACTTTGAAATTATCAAGAGTCAATGGCAGTGCTTAAAAGAAAACGTAGGCTTAGACCAACGATCACTATGTAATATAAAAATCGTAAATTACTACAGGAAACACGGTTTCACATCCACTAGAAAGTCAAAACACCACTTGTAAACAGAATCTTACTACAAGAAACACGGTTTCACATCCACTAGAAAATCAAAGCACCACTTGTAAGCATAATCTTACTACAGGAAACACGGTTTCACATCCACTAGAAAGTCAAATCACAACTTGTAAACAGAATCTTACTACAGGAAACACGGTTTCACATCCACTAGAAAGTCAAAGCACCACTTGTAAACAGAATCTTGGAAATAGCGTCATCGAATTTTCACAAATCTCTCGTTCTGTGTTTTTTATATTTATATACTTCATCTAATTATCTTTCTTTCTATTAGTTTCTCTTTTGTTCTTTTATCTATCATATAGATATCGAGGTAAATGATTTGTAATAATCTTACTTATACTTAATAAAACATCTACAAAGATAAAAATCACCGTTAACGCTTATACCACATATACTTGGTGCCACATTTACAGGGATAAAAACCACCTTTAACGCTTATACTGCCTATACTTAATGGCACATCTACAAGGATAAAAATCACTGCTAACGATTATACCGCTTATACTTAATAAAACATCTACAAAGATAAAAATCACCGTTAACGCTTATACCACATATACTTGGTGCCACATTTACAAGGAATAAAACCACTTTTAACGCTTATACTGCCTATACTTAATGGCACATCCACAAGGATAAAAATCACTGTTAACGATTATACCGCTTATACTTAATAAAACATCTACAAAGATAAAAATCACCGTTAACGCTTATACCACATATACTTGGTGCCACATTTACAGGGATAAAAACCACCTTTAACGCTTATACTGCCTATACTTAATGGCACATCTACAAGGATAAAAATCCCTGTTAACGATTATACCACATTTACTTAGCTCCACATCTACAAGGATAAAAATCACTGTTAACAAACGCAATACCTTGATACGTATGTATAACAAATAAACATTCACGAATTAGCACACACATAAATACAGACAGGCATTAATAACCTTTTATATTAATAGCCTTATAAATGCCTTTTTCATTTTCTGTTTCAGGTATTTCAGCTAATATTGGAGTAGAATATTAGTTCTATATCATAACAGCTGGTCACATAGGTTAAATTAGTTTGGGAAACAGGAGCTTTATATAATGTTGGGGAACAGAGTCAAAATATTGATTCTTGATATTATGCTGTCAGGTGGGAAGAGTTAGTTTTAAAATAACGTTTTACAAGGTTGGTTTACTCAGTCGGAAACAGAGAAAGGGTGTGCTGGCAGTTTCTACAAGGAAGACCTGCATTAGTGTCAAATTCCTCAGCTGCACATTCCCACGCAACTTGTGGCGCCCTCTGGGGAAGCAGAATCTGTGCCAATTGCGTACGACGTTTTGTAGTTTATCGGAAGATTTCGTACAGTTCAGGCGATCGTAGTTCTCTTTCGTAGCAGCTGGAAACCCACCGGTGGACGAATGAGGTGACGTGAAAAACTAATATTGACCTGGGCTTCAAAGTCGTTGCTTACCTAAAAATAAATAAATAAAAACAGGACAGGACTTCGAGGAAAGAATGGGAAGCACGAGACTAATGTTAACTGAAGATGACTAAAAGAACCCTCGATATGGGAGTTTTAGGCTGGACAAGACAATATATTTTACTGTTAACTTGCCTGTGTGTAGCATCATTTAACTGTAAGTAGTGTTACGTTTCATTGTTTATCTTTTATATTTTAACTGATTAGAAACTTGCCTCAACTAAACCTCCTTTCAGCTGAGATATTCAGTATTCCAGCAATGTTTTATACCTTTATACGTTTTATGGTCCTTTAAAGGTAGATTAAACAATTAAAATAACATGGTTTAATTGAATGTAGAAATATATAAACCTTCTTGAAATGAAAGTTAAAATGGTCACAGAAATACAGGTCAATAGTGGCTGATTGGTAAAAACTAAAGATCTTTAAGTTACAATGTAATAACAAGACCACAAATATATATATATATATGTGTGTATATTTAATAAATAACTAACGTATGAGATGAGTCATTATATTACTATACAGAATTTATTTAACTGTCTACCTAAAGTTAATAACTATTGACAGGAAACGTATTGACGTTGATTTGGATACTTCAAATAAGTTCTCATATAATTTTCTATGGCATTTCTGATATTTAATTAATGCCGGAGAATAAAACACTTTTATAATCAGTCAGACATTTATTAAAATGTATTTTTAATAGAAAAAATTCCGGTTAAACAGGTTACTAATTTCAACAGAAACCACGTTCTAAGAAACAAACATGCGATTCCAAGAAACATAGCCCTTGTTGTTGACATGGTTAGAATTCACACCCTTAAAAGTGTATGTTTAGAACATATTAAATATGATACTCGTGATATGTATGCAAGGGTGTGAATTTATAAACAGAATGGAAGACACGTAAATGGTGTGTGAAAAAAAAATTAACAGAATAATATATACATAATACTTTTACTATTATTATTATAAAATTTTATAAACATACGTTCTTTTCGACGAAGGTAACTTCAAAATGTTTAAATTTACAGTTAAGCTTATGCTTGTATGAAATATGACTTCTTAAAAACATTACTATTTAAGTTTCAAAAGTTTAGTGTGGATGTGAAATGACAACTTGTACAGTGCGTAAAATCACTTGCTTAAATCATCTAGCAAATAAAATATTTTATATATTTATTGGTTATAGTATTCCCTCCTCCTCCAATGTGGCTCAGCGGAAAGCTCACAGCTTACAAAGCTAAACTTCGGGTTTAGATAGCCATTGTATAGTATTGTGTTTAATAACAAACAAAACAAAAACTAGTTTGAAATTAAATTACAATTCAAAAGTTATGTGTGTGCCCTTTATAATTAATTACGTCAATTCTATTACTCCTAGATTTGTAAAAAGTGAAGTAATTATTTATTTGTAGCAACATTTCACCTAAACGAAGAATGTACTGACTATTGTAGAATTTTATTTGAAGCTGTGAAATTATTCTATTTATAATAAGATTTCATCTCAACGCATTTCAAACTGCGAAGTGATGATTGTTTGTAGTAACATTTTACTTCAGGGAAGTGAAATGAAATGATGACTGTTTGTAGCAACATTTAATTTCGGTAAAGTCAAATGATAACTGTTTGTAGTAACATTTTATTTCAGGGAAGTGAAATGAAATGATGACTGTTTGTAGTAACATTTAATTTCGGTAAAGTCAAATGATAACTGTTTGTAGTAACATTTTATTTCAGGGAAGTGAAATGAAATGTTGACTGTTTGCAGTAACATTTAATTTCGGTAAAGTCCAATGATGACTGATTGTTGTAAGGTTTAATTTTAGTAAAGTGATGACTGTTTGCAGTAACATTTTATTTCAGTAAAGTCAAACAGTGACTGTTTATAGCAAAATGTCGTAACAGTAAAGTAAGATTTAATCTTAACGTATTTAAAAGTTCAAACTGATGACAATTAGGAAGTTGTGACTTTAAATAATAATAATATAATAATAATACATCTCAATGTTTCTTTGTGTGTAGTTAAGCCCTAAGCTTCACAATGAGCTATCTGTACTATGTCCTCCATGGGTAAAGAAACCCGGTTTTTAGCGTTATAAGTCTTCAGATAGACCGATGAACCACTTTTTTTTTGGGGGGGGGGGGTTACACCTCAATATGTTTAAAAATATGAAGTACTGACTGGCTGTTGTAAGATCAAACCTTAATGTAGTGGAAATTGAAACACAGTCACTGTTTGTTCTACGTGTATACGTGGTAAAATAATGACAACTTGTGCAGACATACACAGTCAAACAAACCTCTACTGAAATAGTTGCTGACCCCTTACCTTCTAAGATATCAAAAATATTGTTTTGTTTGTTTGAAGTTATGCACAAAACTACACAAAGGGCTATCTGTGCTCTGCCCACCACGCAGACATACCGCTGTGCCACGTGGGGGGGGGGGGCTCCAAAAGAGACATACAGCGCCATCAATACGAGGTAATTGTATTTTGCTTACATGTTACCCGAAGCACAGGTTACTGGACTTAACTCTCGTATTTTATATAATTGTCCAAAAACACGTTTTTATCGTGTCTGTGGTGTTTTGTATCAGAATTTTATAAAGTATGTATCAGAAAGATTTGTGTTAATCTAGAGAAGTGCTTCATAATTTTATAGGAAGTTCATAAGTGTTGGTACTTTTATGGGAAATTCTGTATTTGTACATAAGTTATGAGAAACCTTTATAAGAAGTTATATATTTGTACATTACGTTGTGAAGACTTTGATGGGAAGTTCTATATTTGTACATAAGTTATGAGTACCTTTATAAGAAGTTATGTATTCGTACATTACGTTGTGAAGACTTTGATGGGAAGTTCTATATCTGTACATAAGTTATGAGTACCTTTATAAGAAGTTATGTATTCGTACATTACGTTGTGAAGACTTTGATGGGAAGTTCTATATTTGTACATACGTTATAGTACCTTTATGGAAAGTTCCGGGTTATGAATACTTTTATAAGAAGTTATGTATTCCTACATACGTTTTGAGTACTTTTATGGTTTGTTTGTTTGCTGGTAATTAAGCAGCACAAAGCTACACAATGAACTATCTGTGCTCTGCCCACCACGGGTATCGAAACCCGGATTCTAGCGTTGTTAGTCCGCAGACATACCGCTGTGCCACGGGTGGGGGCGACTTTTATGGAAAGTTATCTAGTCGTACATACGTCGTGAGTACCTTTATGGGAAGTTCTGGATTGCGAGTATTTTTATAGGAAGTTCTTTATTCCTGCATACATCTTGAATACTTTTATGGGATGTTCTGTATTTGTACATACATTGTGAGCACTCTTATGGAAAGTTCTTAATTCACAAATACCTAATAGATGTTCTTATATTTTGTTTTTCTGCTCTTTATGTTCACATCAAATTATTTTCACATGTGTTGTATAACTGGAACTAAGCTCTGGCTAGGATGATAATATATCTGTAAGTTTTCTAAGGGGTTTAAATTGTGAAATTTCATAGTTTAAGTTATTTGTTTTAATGAAATAAAATGTTATAATTTCCATTGCATCTACATTGTGTTCCATTTGTCTAATTATCTACAAAAGTTGATTTTTGATAAACCAAACTTTATCATCTGACTTCGTTGGAGATACTACACAAATCTTAGTCAGATATTTCATTATCTCTCACCGATTTTATTTGTGACAAATTGAAAGCATTTTTTATTACTTAGTTACAATCACGGTTTGCTGGGAAGAGAGAGAAAAATACCCCAACAACCCTAATGTATAGTGTTACTAACTTGCTATAAAATACTTTACTCTGTCTCCCGAAGAGTCATCCTGAACCCCAGTACCTGAAACCCCCCAAAAAACAACAACAACAAAAATGAAATTCCGCACTTTGTGGCCATGTGTGCGTTATAAGAGTGATAATCGAATCCCACTATTCTTAGTCCAAGAGTTGCTTTCCCTCTGGTAGTCTGTCACTTCAAAATTATGGACGACTAATGCACATAGCCCCTTGTGTATCTTTGCATGAATTTCAACATGACAAACAAATACTCTTAAAAACAACAAATCTTACAAGGTTTCCTGAACAATACTTAATTTGTTTTACAGATTTTTAAATTATTATAAATAACAGGCAATAAAAATTTCATAAAATACCAATAGCTTCTTTAAATAGTGTATATTAATGTTATCACTTAAAAATAAACCTTATATTATAATACCTCATTATATTGTCGGGAGTTTTCATTCACATAAAAATTAGCCCTAGATATTAATAGTACCTTAATCAATCATCTTTATCATAATGGAATTAGACTTACTGTAATTTTAAATACTAACTTTTTTATTCAGTCTCATAGGTTTTTTTTTTTTTCCTTTTTCGAGAAGAAGGGTGTTTAATAGTATTTCAATCACATTATGTCCATTATATCCACTGCCGTTAACGCGTTTCGCTCGAACCAGAGCTCAGCAGGTCGGCTAGGACATAACAAACATAGTAGTAGTCGGAACGCTATTCGTATAATAAGTCATTTTTTAGAACTACACCTGTTATGGTGTGATAGGCTTTAAGATGGCAAGTGTGACTGTAATCAATTACATTTTTATAAGACAATTTAATTTCGACAATGACAAATGTCTTACGGTAGTTATAACTGATTATAATCACGCTTCGCCAGAAAGCGTTCACACCATAACGTGGTGGGCATAACACAGTCAGCCTATTGTGTAGCCTAATGCTTAATAATAAACAAACAAATAAGTTCGTTACGCATGACAGAAAAGTGTTCTTATGTAAAATGATTATCTGAATAGATTAAGAGATACTTGTATAAAATTAATGTTAGAATCGCTTATCGACCCCGGCACAGCTTTAAGCCACTTTTTTTAGCCCATCTAAAACATCCAATCTAATATGAAACATGATCTAGAGTGTTTACAAAATACGCTGCGAAATATGTCATGAAATCTGTTATGGTGAAACTGGCGGGACATTAAATACACGCACATTAAATAAGTTTACGTTAGTAACACGTGATATTCTGGTGGCACAGTTCTACTGGTACCTATATTCATGTGACTTTTTGTCTCCTAGGATACGCCATGACTGACGAGAAATGTGCTGAAATTTGTTATTGA